TGCACTGTTGGCGGCACTGTGGACTCCAGGTTTGCCATGGTAACCTTTAGGGGTGTTCCTTGCTGAACAGTACTATATCACCCTTCTGGTAGGTTCACATATATGTGGCCAAAAAGCAACTCTGTGTGTTCTAAAAAGCTTGAAGAATTTGTACTTGCTGCCTCTCCTCTCTCTCTCTCTGCCTCTGTGTTTGCCATCTTGGTGAATTACAGGCTGGCCCAGCAGGGACCCTCCTTACATGACCCAGGTCCAGGCTTGCATACTGAGCCCTCACTGAAGAATCTAAGGCCACATCAGACAGTACAAGCTTGGGATTCTGGTTAAGTGGACAGACACACATTCACTTCAGGGTGACATATATTCACTTCAGTGTGAGACACAAGACACACAGTGGATGCCATGGGACTCAGGCAGATTGTAGGACTCAGGTAGACGTTCTCTGGACTTGATTTTTTGTTTTTTAATTTACTTGTTTTGCATGGGTTTTACGTAGCTCAAGTTGGTCTTGAACTTGTTATGAAGCTAAAGATGACCTTGAACTCCCAATCTTCCTCCTACCTCTCAAGTGCTGGGATTCAAGTGTACTAACACACAGTTTTTTTGTTTTTTAAAGATTTATTATGTGTACAGTGTTTGCCTGCATGTATAACTGCAGGCCAGAGGAGGGCACCAGATCTCATTACAGATGGTTTGTGGTTGCTGGGAATTGAACTCAGGACCTTAAGAAAGAAAGAAAGAAAGAAAGAAAGAAAGAAAGAAAGAAAGAGGGTATGGTAACAGGCTTTTTTTTTTTTTTTTTTTTTTTGAGTCACCAACCAGCTCTCAAATCATGACATGGAGACTTACTAGTTTTGAATGTTAGGCCTTTTCTTAACTCTTATTTCTTGCTAGCTCTTATAACTTAAATTATCCTGTTTCTCTTCATCTATGTTTTGCCTCAGGGCTTCTGTAGATCTTTCCTGCTTCTGTTGCTTGGCTGGTTGGTGGCTGCTTGGCCCCTGGTGTGTCCCTCTCTTTCTCCCTTGGTCTGCTCCTCCCTAGCCTAGAATCTTCCTCCTATTTATTCCCTCTGCCTGCCAGCCCTGCCTATTCCCCTCCTACGTGGCTATTGGCTGTTCAGCTTTTAATTAGGCCAATTGGGTGCCTTAGGCAGGCAAGGGGAAACAAATGTAACACATCTTTATATAATTTAACAAATGCGGCAGAAACAAATGTAACACATATTTACATTGTTAACAAAGGCAGCAGAAACAAATGTTAACACGTTAACGCAACATGCCACAATAGGCTATCTTTGATGTCTCGCATGTGGGCCTAGGAGCCTCATAAGCTTCCATGGATCCTCTTCACCCCCATCTTGCTGTAGGAGCTTTGCATGTGTTTTGAAGATTCCAGTTGTGGTGCTTACTCACCCTTGTATGGCAAATGCTTTATTTACCCACTAAGCCATCTCTTTGTATGTTTACTCATGAGCAATTCAGTAGTCCTTCTTAGTTACCTCCTTGTAACTTTCCAGGTGTCTCTACCATTCTGTTGATAAAATCATGCTAACCTCAGAAAATTAAAAAAAGGGGGGGGGGGGCTGGAGAGATGGTTCAGTAGTTTAAAAGTTCTTGTTACCAAACCTGACCTCCTGGGTTCAGTCCCCAAGACCCACATGTTAAAGAAAATCAACTTCCACAGTCCGTCCTCTGGCCTCCACCCCAACATTCGTACAGCATCACTAGCACACACACAGTATATAAATGAAAATACTTTTAACAAACTCAAAAAAAAGTCTCACTTTTTCTACACTCTGAAGACGATGTATGATTAGAATTTTTTATTCTTGGAATTTTTTTTTAGAATTAATCTGTTAAGTCTTGACCTACGATTTTGTTGTTCTGTGCTTTGTTTTGAAATTGGGTTTCACTATATAGTGCTGGCTGGCCTGGAGTTTGCAGTGTAGATCAGGCCAGCCTCAAACTCAGAGATCTGCCTCGTGAGGAGACTAACAGTGTTTGTGATGTGCTTTGTCTTAGATTTTTTTTTGTAGAAAGACTTTTAACTACTGGGTTATGTTCCTACCCCCACCCCAAGCTGAGAATTGAACCCAGGATCCTGTGCGTGCTTGCTTGCAGGCCAAGCAAATGCTTTACTTCTGAGCAACACCTCCAGTCCTTGCTTCATTTTGTTTTTTATATAGGGTGTAGATATGTAGCCCAGGCTGGCCTCAAGGTCACTACTTAGTCTCCTGCTTCGTCCTCCTGAGAGCCACCACACTTAGCTCCTGATTCATTTTTGTTACTAGTTCTAGGAATATTTAAACTTTCTACTTCAACTTGGGCTAGTTTTACTGTTATGTTTTTCTTGATATTTTTCCATTTCATAGGATTTTTTTGGATTTATTCATGTACAGTTGTTCATTATATACTTCTATTAGCTTTTGTTTTAGTTTGGTGTTTGAGACACGGTCTTGTGTTGCTCTAGCCCTCCTCAAACTCACTTTATAGAAGATGGCCTTGAACCCCTGGTCCTCTGGCCTCCACCTCCCAGGTAGGTCAGGTACCAGCATGTTGGCTTCTGTAATTGGGCTCCATCCCTCCTGGGTCACGTGGCTTCTCTGTAATTCTCACACCTGGGCAACACTGTTCACCTGCTGAGCCACCCCCACCCTCACCTGCTCAGACCCTATTCTGCTCTTGCCCATAGGAAATCCCTTTCCATCTCCCTTTCTTTTTAATTGTAAAGTATCTTCTTTTTTTTCCTTTATCTGCCCACAAGTTACAGTAAGGAAATCCCTATCCCTTTGTTTTGTTTAGGATATTTGTTTGTTGGCTTTGAATTCTGGACCCTCCTGCCACTGCCTCTGGTTCACTCAAGTGTTGGATTTGCAGGTGTGCGACATACCCGACACTATTCCTTACAGCTCTTTCCAAGGCAGTGCGTCCATTGTTCCCACGTTTTTGCAGCTATGTAGTAAATACCCCAGTGGGCATATGCCCATTGTCTCACCACCTCACTATTTTGCTGAATGAAATTGTTCACCCCCAACCTTTGTTATGACAAAAGATTGTTTTATACTGTGTGTTTCCTATAACTATTTAAGTATGATCTGACATATTTTAATTTTTTTAACCTCTGAGTCATCTCTCCAGCCCATAATTTTAATTTTTTTATTCTTTATTTTTGAAATAGGGTCTCACTGTGTAGCTCTGGTTGTCCTGGAACTTATTGTGTAGACCAGGCTGGTCTCAAACTCAGAGAGATCCTCCTGCCTCTGCTTCTCCAAGAGCCAACATTGAAGGTGTGCACCATCCTGCCCAGCTACATCACCCCATTTTTTAATATCTTCCTAAAGAGACTCCCCTTTCTCCCCTGCTGCACCCTCCCCCAGATTTCCTTCCTTTCTTGTACTAGGAACCAAAGCAGGGCTTGTGCATGGTAGACAAAATCCACCGAGTTATGCCCAGCTCTGCCAGAAGTTTCTTTTTCTAGTATCTAGGTTTACTATATGTCTGTTTTGGGGGATGTGGAGAGCTTTTTAAGACACTCTCCTATAGCCCAAACTATCCTTGATCTCCTGATTCTCCTGCCTTCACTTCCTAAGTGCTGGGATTACAAGTGAGGTTTATATTTTATTGATTTCTTGTTTAATTATGTTTCAGTCAGAAAAGTGTACCATTTACTTTTGAGCCCTGTCAGGTTTGTCGAGTCTGGTTCTGTGGTGCATTGTACATCAGTATCTGGACAAGCATGCAGAGAACATGTGGTTAGGTTTCCAATTGTGTTGTTTAAACCTTTGGTATCTGTGCTGATTTGTCTCCTACTGTATCATTTTTTTTTTTTTTCCGTTTTTCGAGACAGGATTTCTCTGTGGATTTGGGGGCTGTCCTGGAACTAGCTCTTGTAGACCAGGGTGGTCTCAAACTCACAGAGATCCACCTGTCTCTGCTCCCGAGGGCTGGGATTTAAGGCGTGCGCCACCAACGCCTGGCCTTTTTTTTTTTTTAAGATGTATTTCTTTATTATGTAGTGTTCTGCCTGCATGTCTGCCTTCACTCCAGAAGAGAGCACCAGATCTCACTACAGATGGCTGTGAGCCATCATGTGGTTTCTGGGAATTGAACTCAGAACCTCTGGGAGAACAACCCATGCTCTTAACCCCTGAGCCATCTCTCCAGCCCCTTAATATTGTTAATTAATCTCTTAACTATGAGCTCTTTATTCATCTAGTTCACTAATATTTATGAAGCCCTCTATGCCATGTACTTTTCTAGTTGCTAGTAATATTTCAGTAAACAACAGATAAAAATTTGTTCAGATAGGCAGTGTCGCTAAGTGCAGTGTGGGGACTTCCTTTCTCTCCAGGCTCGGAATTGAATGTTGACCTTGTGTAGGCCAGCCAGGACCCTCCCAGGAACCTCATGCATCTCTGTCTAACCATTTCCCAAGCTTAGTGGTTCAATTTCCCAATCCCACCATTGGTTTGTGAGGCCAGGGCTTGGTGTTAACCTCCTCACGATAGCCCTGTGGTGAGTGTGGATTGTTTGATTGGCACTTCCTTGATAGTGTTTTCATCTGTTAATTGATAGTTTCTCTTCCCTGAAGCAATGACTGTTCAACTCTTAACATTTTTAAATTGGGTTATTTATCTTTTTATTATTAGAGTGTAAATGCTCTTTTTCTTTCCTTTTACCTTTTTGTGACAAGATCTTTCACTGTAGCCCAGGTTGGCCTTGAATTTGCTAAGTAGCCCAGGCTAGTCTTGAACTTGCTAGGTAGCCCAGGCTAGCCTTGAACCCCAGATTCTCCTGTCTCAGCCTCCTCAGTGCTATGATTATAGCAGCCAGCTCACATAGCTCCTGTCTCTGAGCTCACTTAGTTGATTAGTTTTTCAAACTGTAGCCCAGACTGGCCTTGAACTTGCTATATAGCTCAGGCTGGCCTTGAGTTCATAGCAACTGTCCTGCATTAGCCTGCTGAGTAATGGAATTATAGGTTTGCCTCACCATGTTTAAACACATTGTTTTAAAATGAGGGACACTTTGTGTCATCCTTGCCCAGGGGCCATGATAATCTCTGTATCCTTGCAATCTTAGTATGTGTGCTGCTGAGGTGAGCGCCATTTTTTTTTTTAATCCATTATTATTGTGAGTGATGCCATAGCACATATAGGGGTATCAGAGGACAATTTGTAGGAGTTGGTTCTCTCTGTCCACTGTGTGGGGATCAAACTCAAATTGTTGGGCTTGATTGCAAGCACCTTGGCCCACCAAGCCACCTCACCAGCCCCTACACACCATGTTTGTATAAAGCAAGGGAATGATAGATACAAAGATTGATTGACTACCTACAGTTAAGTTGCCTAATTTTCCTTCCATTTTTGCCTCTTACCAGCTGGTCACCTGAGCAAGTGCCTTAATTGCATCATTTGATAAGTTTTCATGTCTTGGACCACAAAGCTGGGGTGCTAATGCCTTTCCCTTTGGCAGGGAGGATGTTTTTGTTTTTTGAGACAGGATTTCTCTCTCTAGCTCTGGATGTCCTGAACTCCCTCTGTAGTCCAGGCTGGCCTTAAACTCAGAGATCCACTTGCCTCTGCTTCCTGAGTCCTGGAATTAAAGGCATGTTAATGCCTTCCTTGCTTGGTCTTTGTGACAGCCAAATAATTGAATCTGTGTAACATGACACATGCCCAGGTGCCCAGTGTCTGACATAAGAACTGCTTAACACAAGACAGCTGCTCTGAGAACCAAAGGTAGCTTGGTGGTTTTGACGAATGCCTCTCCCTTCCTGCTCTGCCACAGTTCCTTTGTGATGAGGGTGCAGGTATATCTGGGGACTACATTGATCGAGTAGATGAGCCCTTGTCCTGCTCCTACGTACTGACCATTCGGACTTCTCGGCTCTGCCCCCACCCTCTCCTCCGGCCCCCAGCCAGCGCTGCTCCACAGGCCATTCTTTGTCACCCTGCCCTGCAGCCTGATGAGTACATGGCCTACCTCCAGAGGCAAGCTGGTGAGTGAGACGGAGATGAGCCGGGGACGGAGAGAGCTGGGGATGGGGTCAGGCAGGCCCAGTGTTGAAATGGGTTCCTATCCTGTCTGCACACTGTTTTTCTGGTAGAGTCAAAGCAGCATGAGGAGAAAATCACAGAGGAGGTCCAAGACACAGACCGCCAAGTGTGGGGCGAGACCAAGTCTGCTGGAGTAACCCCAGAGAAAGGAGGTAAGTGTGCTTTTGGCCATTCCATGAACCTGGCCACAGCCACCTTGCTTCCCCCGTCTTACTGCCTCATGCTGACAGTTGTGTGTGACTAACCCACAAGAGGGAGTGTACCTCCTTCTGCTCTGCTCTCTTCTCCCCACTTTTCACATTCCCTCTGTTCTCTGTACCCCAGATGTCAGCCCAGCCAAGGAACACAAGGAATCTGAATTTTGGAAGATGCTGCATGAGCCAGAGGAACAGGCTGCAGTAGGAGAGGAGGCACAGGCAGGGGTGAGGATGGCCTCTCTGATGAGCCTGGGCTCGGGCTTTGGGATGGGTAGGGTCCCTCAAGCCAAGTCTACAAAGCAGCCTCCGAGGCTAGGGATGAAAGGGTATTGCTTGAGGAGCATGAAGGGGGAGGGTATAGAGCCTTCATGCCTGAGTCTGCCTTTTCCCCTCAGCAGGAGAACCGGAACCCTGAGGCTACAGAAGATCCAGCTTCCAACCCTCCCAATGGTCAGTGAACTCTGTCTCCTCTAGTCCTTAGGTGGGGAGTAGAGTAGAGCCGAATACTCAGAGATCAACATCCCTCCCTCCCCCCAGCTCCATTTCTCTTGGGGCCAAGAACTAAACCTGGACTCTTGAACACTGATGCTCTACTACTTAGCCATCCCCCATTCCCCTCCCCCGCCCCGGCTCACAGCAGGACCACTTAAGGAGGTCAAAGGGCACTGGAGCTCCATGCATGCTAACTTTACACTCCCAGGCAATGTCATGTAATTTTATGGTTTACCCACCTATAAAGTGTGGGCAAAGCTACATCCTAGAGAGCTGGGAGGGTAAATGGAAGTAGAATGCCCAGTATGGAGCAGATACCAAGTACCTGCAGAAAGCAGGGTCCCACCAGGTGGTGGTGGTGGTGACGCACACCTTTAGTCCCAGCACTCAGGAGACAGAAGCAGGCAGATCTCTGTGAGTTTGAGACCAGCCTGGTCTACACAGCCCAGGAGAGGCTCCAAAGCTACAGAGAGAAACCCTTTCTTGAGCACCCCCCCCCCAGAAAAAAGCAGGATCCAGAGACAAAGAGCCCTTAACCCTGAATCTCCTCCATGGTCCTAAAAACTAGAGTTTTACCAAAAAAGAAAAAAAGAGAGAAAGATTCAGGTGTTCATGGAGGAGGGTTCTTAGTGATTTGACATCTATGTTTCTTTGCTGTCTCTCAGCTGCCTGCCAGCCACTCCTGAAGTAGAGACTGTGGTCCTTGCCTATGGCACCTCTCCTCAGGCATGAAGAGAAGACTTAAATTGCAAAAGGCTCATACCTACTTTTTCTCTCCCATCTCAGATCTTCAGAACAATGTGCAGGTCAAAGTCATCCGGAGCCCAGCAGACTTGATTCGACTGATAGAGGAACTGAAAGGTGGAACCAAAAAGGTATGGCCCTGCTAGGGGCAGAATGGGACCTGCCTCCCAGATTCATCTGGAACAAATTGGGCCCAATAGAACTGGCTCCTACCCTGCCCTTCCTGCGGCCCCCACTGCCATGCTCTGCCAGGGTTGAGTTGGACCACACTTGCCTATTAGGACTGAAGCCTCCAAACAATCCATTTCCTCCCCACCCGACTCAGGGAAAGCCAAGCACAGACCAGGAACAGCCTGGAGATGATACCACGGAGGCCCCTCGGAGGGAGGTGGAGCTGAAGGAAAAGGGGGATGAACCCCAGGCTGTTTCGGAGGAAGAGGACAATGAGGAGGAAGAGGAGGAGGAGGAGGAAGACGAGGATGAGCGGCAGTTATTGGGAGAGTTCGAGAAAGAGCTGGAAGGGATGCTGCTGCCCTCAGACCGTGAGCGGCTCCGCTCGGAGGTTAAGGCCGGCATGGAGAGGGAGCTGGAGAACATCATCCAGGAGGTGAGCTGCTCGCGCTCCTGGGGCGCCACAGATGCCTGTGTCTGCGGTGCAGGACAGCGCTTCCCAGTGTGCTGGCTGCGCCTTTAATTATAAGATGAAAGACAGGAAGATACTTTATCTCCTACAGGCCATGTTCCCCAGACCATTAACCCCCCACCCCTCCCGCCTTCTGTGGGCCTTGCAGACAGAGAAGGAACTGGACCCAGATGGCCTGAGAAAGGAGTCGGAACGGGAGCAGGCAATACTGGCCCTGACAGCCACTCTGGATAAACTCATCAAGAGGCTGCAGGAAAACCAGAGTCCAGACCTGCTGCAGAAACACAAGAAGAAGAAGACTGTCCCTCAAAAGCCTCCCCCATCACCACCTCCTACAGGTGAGAGCAGGCCACAGGAACATGAGTCTTGTTCCCAGAGGGCACAACCTTGAGAGCTCCACCTTTGGGAGCTTAATGTCTCCCTCCATTTTCTGCACAGACACATCAGAGTCATCCTTGCGAAAGTCTGCCTTGGTCTCTGGTTTGCTCTTTACACCACTGTCTAGCATTCTGCCTGGCACTTACACAGTCCCTAAATGACCATGAGCCTAGAAGGTGAAAAGCACCCACTCATGAAGAAGGGGGGTCTCTGTGGGTGGGGGCTTGCATAGCGAAGCCTGGCTGGAGGTGGACACGCAGTGGCAGGGGTGCCAGCTGTCAAGTGTGACTAGGCAAGCCCACTGGCATGAGCCACCAACCTGGCCACACTTCAGTTATTCCTTCTTGCATCTCCTTATGTTTATTTCCTGGAATTCTACTCGTGTGGAGAAGGCGTTCCAAATAGAACATTCCAGTTTCAAACCTTCCATCCCACCTTTTTGGTAAACACTGATTATTAAATCTCAGCATGGGGAAAACCAAGCCATGGCTTTCCAACCTGCTCCGAAAAGCAAAACACCTTTGGTGCAGGTGGCTTGATCTGGCTTTCCGAAAGCCACTGTTTTCCTATAGGAGATGGTAGAGTTACAGGATGGGAGGGGGAGGGCTGCTGTTGGGGAAGGGCATGTTTTTGAACCCTGGATCACATTCATGGGACTGAGAGTATCTATCCAAACCAGCCCATGGCTTAGAGAAGCCACCCTCACAGCCTTCATCCTGGAGTCACACGCTCTGCTTTGTGTCTCCCTGTGTCTTCCCCTCTAAGAGGAGGAGCCTGAACACAGAGTCCGGGTCCGAGTCACCAAGCTCCGTCATGGAGGCCCCAATCAGGATCTGACTGTCCTGGAGATGAACCGGGAAAACCCACAGCTGAAACAGATCGAGGGGCTGGTGAAAGAAGTGCTGGAGAGGGAGGGGCTCGCGGCGGAAGGTGGGCCCTGGAGGGCTTGCCACAGGAGTGGCAGGGCTGGGTCAAGGTCCTCCGACTTGGGACCTGGAGGGCAGGGGACCCTCTACAGCCCCCAGCCTTCCTCTCCTCACCACCCACTTTGCTCCTCCCAGGGAAGATTGAGATCAAAATTGTGAGACCTGGAGCTGAAGGTAACGAGGAGGACACACGCTGGCTAACTGATGAAGACACGAAAAGCCTTAAGGAGATCTTCTTCAATATCTTGGTGAGTGAGGAATCCCACCCAAGTCCTGGGCCCCCAGATCACCCCTCTATGGTACTGAAATAAAGGTCTGGTTACGCCCTGGCCGGCCATCCTGCTGTCTGAGGTGTCCTACATACAGCACAGGGCTTCCCTAAGCTACAGGCAGCACTTCCGGCTCAATGCCCCTCCCCCTCTTCCTCCCAGGTGCAGGGAGCAGAAGAGGCCAATAAAGAGCGCCAGAGACAGAAAGACCTGGAGAGCAATTACCGACGCGTGTGGGGCTCTCCAGGCGGTGAGGACACTGGGGATCGGGATGAGTTTGATTTCTGAAACCAGAGCTGCCAGGCCTTCCAAGGATTCCAGAATCTTCCTGACTGGCTCTGCCTCCTCCTCATCTCCCACCTTGGGGCCCCCCGGAGGCAAAAGGGCAGGTTGGAAGCCAAGCTCTGAACTTCAGGGGTCCGGCTCAGAGAGAGTGTGGAGACCCAATGAGGGAGAGCTGTTGCGACTCCAGAGCCACCCTAAGACCTCAGCCAGGCCTGTGGGCTCCACTTCCCCAACATGCCTTTTCTTTGCCCCTTTGGCTTTTCCTGTCCCCTGACTTCTTACCATGTCTTGTGAGTAGGGCATGGTGGGAAAAGCAGGCGAGCTGGACAGTTTATCAGACTCCAAGAAAGAGGCTCCATCCACCCCACCTCACCCCACCCCACCCCACCTGGATACCCTGTTGCTATTGGGAACTGCTTGCCCCTCCCTTGGATTTCCTCCTTCCTGTTCCCACTGTCCCTTTATCTGTGCTTCTGAGTCAGGAGCCCTTACCTCTGTCACTGAGAGAATAGGAGACCTTACATACCACCTCACACACAATTCCAGCAAAAAGGGTTGGATATGGAGCCACCCATGTGCTTCAGGTTTCTGAATAAAGAACTGGACCATCAATGCATCGGCCTTGTGGGGAGAGGTTTGGTTGGTCTTTTCAGGATGGGAGACATGTCCTATGTTCCTGTTTACTGTGTCCTCCCTGCCAACAGTATCAGTGTGCCTGGGGTTCCCCCCCTCCGAGAATATTAGTATACCTGGAGTACCCACCCCATAGAGTATCAGCGTGCCTGGGGTACTCAGGAAGAGGTCAGGCCCAACGAACAAAGTCCACCAGATGTGGTTTGCTTCTGGGTGAACTGACCAGGCATTGTCCTCTGGAGGACTGAAGGGGACCCCGAGTGTCAGCCTTCACACAGAACAGCAATTATCTTATAAACCAGCTCTGAAGGGGTGAGGACTTGGAGGCAACTCTTAGAGGATCCTAAAAGCAGCGGCAAAGCTACAAGAGACTTTTGATCCCTCCTTTCATCATCTATTCCTATTCCTTCTAGAAAAAATATTACCATATTGGGGAACCAACCCAGGGCCCCACTTGTGCTAGGTGAGCACTGTACTGCTGGGCTGTGTCTAGCCATTGCTTCACTCTTTCCCAATCCTCTCCTCTTTATATCCTGAAACCCCAAATGTGTCCCGCGGAGACCCTCCCATGCCCACAGGGGCATCTCCCCTACCTACAGCCTTGCAAGTCATTGCAACAGGTGGCCTGGTGTCGCTATCTTTTCCTGATTGCCAAGGACAGCTGTGGGTACGTACCTCTTACCCCATTTTCTCTCCCAGAGTAGAGGACAACAAAGGTAAAGTGTCTCCTTTGGGTCCCCAGCCAGGAGGTATGTAACTCCTTCTGGAGACAAAGGGGGCTCTCGATAGGAAAGGGACTGAAGACATGCTATGCCATCTTCAGAAGAGGAAAGGGAGAACTCTGATTATTGAAGGAACTCATGGGGCTGGCCCTCTTCTTGCTAAATGTGGATGAGTGTTGACTGTGCTTGTTATGTTTAAAATGTTTTGAAATGTAGACAAGTCCAACTTCCTACATCCCTGCGAATCTTTTGAGGGGACAGATGCTAAGCTGCTTGAGATCTTAGGCACTGTCTTGGGAATGGCCATCGTCAGGGTACTAGGTTCCCTTCATTAGCCTTAAGTGATTTCCCTTCTGATGATATCCAGGCACCAGCCTCCAGGGGGCAGTAATGAGGATGGGGGGGCAGTGTTAGTCTTTTAAGACACTAAATACTTAAAAACCAGCGTCTGAGCTCTATAGGGATGAGGACATGGAGAAAGTCTTAAAGGACCCTAAAATCTGGGCAGGGTATTTTTGGTGCTTCAGCTTGGTCAGAAAACACGGAACCCTCACTGCACTGAGTCAATTTGAACTTTCAATAAGTTCCCCTTTCCTTTCTTTTGACTTTTGGTAGAGTTCATGAAGGTCAGTCAGTCTCAGCTGTGCTAGGGCAAACAAAAGGAATAGGAGTAGCGAGTGTGTGGCAGAGGGCATCCAGAAAGCAGGGGGTAGATACCCATCCAGGGGTGCCCTTCTTACTCTGCCACAGCCTGGAGGGCTTGAAGTTTTGCAACTCCATCTCTCTCGCATCCCACAAGACTAATGTAACCCGTTAAGAGAAATCAATTACTTGGCGGGAGAATTTGCTGACATCCTGACCATTTTCCAGTGGCCTGCTGATCCCTTGACAAGTGACTTCATTCTGTTCAGGGTCCTTGTTCCTCCCCATATCTAACACCCTGAGCTTCTGAGGACGGACGCCATGTCTGTTTTTGCTATGAAGGGCAATGATGATGAAAGGAGACCAAGGGTCTCAGTTGATAGGCAACAAACAGCCCACCTGCCAATCTTCCTGTCTCTGCCCAGATCACACACTCCATCTGTGTCTGTTCCTGCCCTCAAGTTCATGCCTCCCTGGGTCACGCTGATGTGGGAGGTGATTACCCAGCCTGGGCCTCCGAAGAACAGCCTCCAGGGCTACAACCAGACCCTATCAGTTCCCTGACACATCTACAGATGAAAACTTTAGAAGACACCAGAAATTACAATCAACTCCACCCAGACACCAATACCACCAGCTGACTCCTAAAGATAGGCAATACGCTGGGGCCCAACCTGTATTAGCTACTAGCCTAACCTTTACCAGGCCTGATGCTTATAACTTCTACACGCAAAAAAAAAAAAAAAAAAAAAAAGCAGGGTTGACTACTCAATAAGCTTCAATACTGTGGCTCGGCCACCATGACCTGAGGTGACCCCATAATAAAAGTGGACAAATTCCTACATCAGCTGGCACGGATCTTGTGGACACTTGAGAACTGCAAAAGGTTGGAAAACCTCTCACCCCTGCAGTCCCTAGCACCCCCTTTAGCTCTGATGCCTAGGCCAACCTGGGGCAGCACCTTCCCCAGGTTCACAGCACTTACAGGTACACTCTCAACATAGTGTCTGAGGTCACTTGCCCAATATCCTTTAGCTAGGGAACAGTGGGCCAAGTTTCAAAACTAAATCTCATTCTTGAAGCAAAATAGCCCCATTTTTTTCAGTCCTCCCCCGCCCATGCCTGTCTGTTTCTCCAAACACCACGCTCCAACTTTTTGCCAAGTTTGGCATCAATTGTGCAGCGGATGCCTGCTCATGGCCCCCACCGTTGCTCCTACCTCACAAGCCCAGGGGTGTTGTACAAAGCTGAAGACTACCTCTGTGTCTGTGGGTACTGTCCTAATTCCAGTCCAGACCTCTGCCTGGCCCTTCCCTCTCCAGTTCCCCAACGTCCACCAAGATGTCACCTGCCTCTTCAATAACAGACCATCAGCTCACCCCTTAGACAAAATCACTTCCTCTTTAATTGCTGTTAAGATTCATATCACCTGCTTTGGAGGTGAGGAGACAACCCCTGCCCCCTCCTCACTCCACTCCCCGATTACCTGGTCTTTTGCAAAATATTTTAGCCAGGAAAAAAAAAAAAAAAAAAAAACCAGAAACCACTGCCCCAAACAGCCCAGAGCCTGGGTTGACTAAAGGAGGCAGGGTTGGGCTAGGTGAGTCCATTCCGCCTCCCCCTTTCTGGGGATGGGGCCAGGACCTTAACACCTTCCCAGCCACTGCACACCCTCTCAGCCCTGGCTGGGAGGGAGCAAAGGATAGAGAAACAGATCTGGAGCTGCTCCAGTGAGAGAGGGACTGAACAGAAAGGATTATGGGGGAGGGGTCCCATTGTGTAGGGGTGCCCCCTACCCCAGATCACCACGGGCGCTGCACAGTCACAGGTACGCAGTCACGGTCACAGACACAACCCGAGAGCACCCCCACCCCACCCCACCCCTGCCCTCCCTTGGCTTCCCCTACCCTGAAATGCCCTCCCCTCGCCCCTACCCACCCCATCCCCATGTTGGGGAACAAAGCAATAAATTACAAGGCCCCTCTCTAGCCCCCTCCTGTTCCAATCCTTCTCCCCACCCCAAGATTGTAAGGGGAAGGACCTAGGCTCTCAGCTCCCCCCGGGCTCTTTAGCTTCCATTTATAGATAGGTAGAGGGGGATATCTGGTTTCCTATCCTCATGGTCCCTTTCACAGAAAGGGTTGGGGACCCCTCCACCTCCATGGGCAGCAGGGGGTCCTGCCCCTCGCTGCCCTTCCCCCTCAATGGGCAGTGAGATCAGCATGGAAGGGGTGGCGTCCGCATATTGGTCCCAAGTCCCAGGGCTAGTCCTCTACCTACTGATCCCTCCCTTTGGCGTGGCGTTGCCCCAGGAGCCAGCCTGGGTTTGGGCTCCGGCCACCAGATTGTAGAACGCAAGCAGGACCGGATCTTTTACCCGCCCCTAGGGTGCACGAGCCAGCAAGTCCGAGCGCCCTGGAGCTGCAGGTACAGCTGCAAAGGCTGCAGGCAGAGAGACCCAGGACAATCCAAGTGTGGAAACAGTGGAGTAGGGGCGTGTTGAGCTAGGGTCTCCATGCCTCGCTGGGGAGAGGAAGGTGAGTTTGTGTCTCCTGGGAGGCGTGTGGGGGCTGTGCCCTCGTGGGGGTAGGAAGTGCTCCCATGGGACGGGGTGCAGACTGGAGAGGTGAATGGGTGCATCTGTCCAGCGGTCCACCCGGTGTGGTCGTGCCCGGCCCGCGCGGGGGTTGGGGGGTGTCTCTCCCGGTGCTGGGCAACTATACCAGCGCGATCGTGGCGTCCACGCGGCCCAAGCTGGCAGCGCTGCTCCGGCGTCTCGGGCTGGGAGTGGCGGTAATGCTGGGGGTGGTGGCCGCACTCGGTGTGGTGGCTGTGCTGCCGCCCTCTCCCGGGCAGCCGTGCTGGAGGAGGATGTCAGCACACAGCTGGCTGCCAGCCTGGCGGGCGTAGAACAGTGCTGTGCGGCCCTGCGCATCACGGGCCGCCACGTCCGCGCCGTACTGCCAGGAGGAAAAGGCCATGTGACCGAACGCCATCCAGGGGACCCTTCCCCCAACACCTCCCACTCTACTACACCGCCAAGCCCACCTCTCCCGTCACGTACCCACAACAGCAGTTGCGTGATGACAACGTGGGCGAGCTCGGCCGCCAAGTGCAGCGGCGATCGGAGCTGCGGGTCCTCCACGCTGGTGTCGAGTGGCCCGTGTCGCGCGTGGGCCAGAAGCAGCAGAACGGTGGCCACGTCCTGGGCCTGTACTGCGGCCCACAGCTGGCGGCCCAACGGCTCCTCCGTGGTACCCAGAGGCGCCAGGAACAGCAGCTGCTCGTACTTGGCGCGAATCCACGACTCACGTTCCTCCCTGCAGTACCAGGGTCCAAGGGAAAGAGTTGTAGGGGACCTCTAATCGGGACCTCCCAGAAACTGTACACCCTCCACACTGATCCTCTATCCTTACCGCGAAGAGTCCCGTGTGGGCTTAGCACGGCCCCGAGTGTCACTCTCCCACACGCGGTTGGCCGTGTCGTTGCCAATAGCCGTCAGGACCAGGGTCAGCTCCCGCGGCCAGTCGTCCAAGTCCAGCGAACGCACGCGGGACAGGTGCGTGCCCAGGTTCCGGTGGATGCCGGAACACTCGATGCAGATGAGCGCACCCAGATTCAAACTGGCCCACGTGGGGTCTAGGGACAGGATGAAACAGCATATCAACAAGACACCCCCACCTTTCACCAGACTCCAGCTAACTCCCCCAGTCTGGGATCCTGCTCCCCAGTTCCCTCGGTGGGGCCCTTGTACTCACTGGGAGCTCCACAGTCCACACAGGTAGAGTTTCCCTTTGCGTTTCGGATCGCCTGGATGGCCACGGCTTCGCTCTGGCTGTCAGTGCGCAGCTGCAGAGAGAAGTGAGGTCAGGGCTGCACCTCTGACCCCCAGCCACTCTCGTTTAGCCTCCATCAAGTCTCAGAGCATTTACCTTGACCTTGCTGCTCTCACAGCACTGCAGACTGGCCAGGATCTGACTTTCAATGGCCTGAACCCAGGCATCCCGCTCCTCGAAGCTGGCTGCCTCAAAGTGCCACGTCTGACCAGTGCTGGACACAATCAGGAACTCAAAGTTTTCCTCTGGGTGGGTGGACGGGAGAGGTCATGAGGGGCAGAGTTCAAGCGGGTGGCCTTCCCCCAAACCCTCCCTGATGTCCTTGGAGCCCGGAGGAGTGGGACAGTGTGGGGAGGGAAAGCAAGAGGGTGGGGAACTGCAGGAAGCCCGAGCACATGCAGGGAGAAGCAGGGCACCCCACCCCTCTGCACCCCAGCTTAGCAACCCCTCCCGGCTCCCGGAGCTTGTTACCTGCTTTATAAATATTTCTTAAACTACCAAAGGATTTTAGTTTCCACATTTTGCGCTTGGCTGGTTTCCCGAAGCGAAGAAGACAGAGACAGAGTGGAAAGCACAACAGAGAAAGAGAGACCAAGAAAAGAGAAAGAGGCAGATGGAGAGATAGAGAGACAGTGACAGAGAGTGCCAGAGACAAAGCAGGACAGACAGATGGGGAGAGAAAGCAGAACTACAGTCAGTGGCCCCGGAGCAGAGTGGAGCGGAAGCCAAGAGCCATGAGAGTCAGCAGATCTGGAACCCGGGTCTGAGCACCCGGCAAAGAAGGGGTTGGGGGGGGGGGCAGGGGCGGATGTGGGGGAGTAGGTATTGTGACCAGAGAGAAACCTGGTCTCTGTAGGGGGAAGGGTGTCAGAATTTGTGTGAACAGTAGGAAAGGGGCCAGAGGCTGGGATGAGGGCCCTGGGGCTCCAAAGTCAGTAGAACTGGGGAGTAGGGTTTGCTATGGGGAGTGGGGGGAGGCAGGTGTAGGGATCAGTGGTCAAGGGCTCTTGGAAGAAGAACCTGCCAATGGGAGGTTATGGAGAGAAGGGGCTGGGGAGTCAACAGGGACACTGAATTCAGGGGCTGCAGTCCTAGATATGGATGCAGAAGATGGGATCAGAAGTGCCAACGTGAGTAGGAACTGGGAGTGGCGGGGGGGGGGCAGAAAGGGAGCCACAGACTTCTGAGGACAGGGGCTGGTGGGAATAAGAAAGGGATAGTAACTGGGTGATGTCCTTCCATTTCCCCACTCAGTTACATGCATGTGGTGACGATGACAGTTCCTGTGCTTACCCTGCTCTGCAAGAGCTAGGTCAGGGGTTAGGATACCAGGGGTGAGGGTCCGGAGTGGGCGTGGAACCACCCACCACAGCCTCACCTTCAGCCTGCACAGTTGAGCCTTCGGTCTTGGATGGTGTGGTCAGTTTCTTCCTCCTCTGCTTCTTCACCATGGGAGAAGGGTGAGGCTCCCGACTCAAGGGGCTCAGGTCTCCAGATGGGGTGCAGTCTTGGAGAAGGGACACAGGGCCTCAGCTGCATTCCCACAGACTTCCGTATAGCCCTGAACTAACTAGCATTACAGTGAGCATCTCCACGCCCCCACCCCTCCACTCCCCCCACCCCCACCCCTCAGCTATCCCTGTCCAAGAGGCTTCCCCTGATCACTGGAGGAGGTGGGCAGATGAGGGGTTTAGAATCAGGTCTGTACTCAGCTCTTGCCTCTGCAACTGACCAGCCTTGAGACCTCAAGCAAATTAATTTATTTTTTGGGCCCCAGTTTTGTTTTTATTAATTTCATTTTGTGTGCACAAAATGAAAGGTGTCAAATCCAGGGGAACTGGAGTTACAGACAGTTGTGAGCTGTCATGTAGGTGCTGGGAATTGAACCCGGGTCCTCTGGAAGAGCAGCCAGTGCTCTTAACAGTTGAGTCATCTCTCCAGCCCCGAGCCCCAGTTTTTTCATCCCTAAAATGCGGGTGATAACCTTGACCTGATAAGTTGTAAGAAACATTGATTACAGTGTTACTTCCTGTTCCTGTATATGCCTATATAATATATAGATATAATTTCCAAACATTTCAAACACTGATGGCTGACTATGTGCTGGTCTAGGTTCTCTGTTTGTTAAATTAAACCTTGCAGAAAGGTTCTGTAGGGTAGACACAGAGGCATGGAGAAGTCAAGTAAACTTGCCCATGTGGCAAGGCAAACTAGGAATCTGAACTCAGGCCTGCAGACTTCTCTAATGTAGTTATCTTCACCGCTGTGACAGACATAGCATATGGTCTTGGTGCCAGTCACCCAGCAGACATCCCTCATGTTCCCTTGTACATTTGTTCCAGATCCAAGCTTCCACTTTTTTTTTTTTTTTTTCAAGACAGGGTTTCTCTGTGAAGCTTTGTAGACCAGGCTGGCCTCGAGCTCACAGAGATCCAACTGCCTCTGCCTTCTGAGTACTGGGATTAAAGGTGTGCGCCACCACCCAAGCCTCCACTTTATTTCCCACCCATATCCCATTTGGGTCTGGAAGCCAGTCGGTGGAGGGTGGTCCCACTAACCAGTGCTGAGGGCCCGGGCCAAATTCCGGTCTGGCTTCAGCAGGTGTTTGGATGTCTGGTCTGATGGAAGCTGCAGGGAGCTGGGGCTGGGGCTGGGGCTGGGCATAGGAGTAGTGGCTTCTGTGAGGAGGAGAGGGAGAGATTTATCAGTAAGCCTGTCTCCAACACTTTCTTTATCAGCCCTCATCCCACAGAGCCAGGGTAGCACCAACTCCTTCCTCTCCCCACCCCTCTCCTCTGTCCCTGTCTCCTTCACTGACTACTTGTCATGGGTCCCACTTACCAGGGCCTTCACCCATCTGGACGGTGCTCATGTCCTTGACCAACCCATTGATGCTGGCTGAGGGGCCAAAAGCAGAGATAGCCCTTGGGGGCCGCTTGCCTGGGACTTTGACAGTTGTTCGTAATAAGTCCATCTCTTTGCCGTGTGTACTGTGGATGTAGTCCTGTAGAGGTACAGGGTTGACAGTATGTGTGGGGGGGACCTCCCATCTTTGGGACTGCTGGGAAGCAGGCAGTAAGAACAGGATACAGAGGGGCCCTGAGAGCTGACTGGACTAAGAAGAGCTTGTAGAAGTAAACCTGCCAGACTTGGCCTGGAAGCATTCTCTCAGTGGCCGGCTGGGAACAGGCCTGGCCATGGTACTCTCCCACTGGACTGCAAGTTCCTGGGACAAGGAATTCACCTTCATATCCCCAGCACAGAGAAGTGTCATGAGCCTATGAGAACAGATAGCTCCCCAGAAATGATGCCAGGTCTTGTCAGAGATGTCCAAGGCCATCAGTGTGGCCCATCTTGGCTACTCACATTAATGCTGGGGTGGTAGAGTAGAAAGCCATTACTAGAAAGAGTGACATATTTCTTCTTCCATTCCTTGTTCAAGGAATTGCCACTTCTCTTTAGCAAGAAGCTCTGAAAGAAAGAACAGGAAGATATGTGGGAGAAAAGCCAGCTAAGAACAGCAGCTTCAGACTCACCTTCAGCTCCTAAACCCCTTCCTTACCTGTTTAATGGGGATGGCTCGCCCACTCCCCGTTGTCTCTCCCCGACTGTCTAAGCTCCGCTTCTCAGAGTCGCTGCCCCGACGGTTCTGGAACGGTTATCGGAATTAACCAGAGGATGGGTAGGATACAGTGATGGGAAACAGTGAAAAGAAAGAGCAAGAGCCAACAGAGAGGTCTAAGAATGGCAGGCAGGCAACGGGACAGGAGGGAAAGGGGGTTGGTGTGTTCAATACCGCAAAAAGGCTAGTCCTTCGCTTGGCTGCTCGGTGTAGGGACCCTGGGGTGCTTAACCCAGCCACAGCGGCTGCCTCAGCTCGGAGCTCACGGTGTCCAACGTTGGGTGAGGAAGGGAGTGAAGAAGAGTAGTCGCTAGTGTGGCCCCCGTTACTAGCCTGGAAGCATACAGAGGAGTCAGCAGAGTTTAGCATCCATACCCATCAAGCTAAGGTGAGATCCAGTGTGAGACAATCCCTGCTGTCACCGTTATTCACTCATTGCCACCAGCCACCCGAATCTTCCCTAGTACTGTGACACCACTTCAGGTTTTGTGAAGTTTGATGCCCTGAGTATTGACTGCTGTGCAGCAGTGCAGATAACCTGAGGAGGGACATTGCAAATGGCACCTCATGCCTGATTGTCAGTTCCATGTTAATTTCCTTCTTTTCGTTTTCTTTCTTTTCTTTTTTTCTTTTTTTCTTTTTTTTTTTTTTCTTTTTTTTTTTTTTTCTTGTGTAGCTCTGGCTGTCCTGGATTACTCTGTACACCAGGCTGGGCCCAAACTCACAGAGCACTGGGATTGACATCATGCACTGCCGCCCACCGCTGCCCTGCCTCAATGTTGCTGCCTAATCCTACTCATTTCCCCACTTCTGAATTTGACATCAGTCTCTGACACCACAGACTCACCTGCCCGGCTACAGGAGTAGAAGCAGCTGAATGGCTTGGTGAGCTGGGCAGGGACTTGCAGGCAGCCAGGAGTTGCTGCTGTTTGCGTAAAGTCACCACCTTCTGGGCCACTGGAAGGAAGGGGAATTGGAGGAGTCATGAGCAGGAAAGATACCCAAGCCCACTTTCTCATGCCCTATTCTGAGAAGCCCCAGGAAATAATACAGCCCCAACTTCCTTGTCACCAGCGCTCCCAGGACATCTATGGCCTAGCCAGAAACCTTCCATAGGCCCCAGACCCCTCCTCCTTCCCAGGGGCCCCTTTTCTGTCACTGGGAAGCACAGAACTGGATACAGGACCTCTGGCTTTCCACTGTCACATGCTGGGGACGACCACACTCACCCTCCTGGAAGACCCGGTCCACGTTGAGCCCATAAGTTGCGCAGGTCTCATAGTAGCTGCACCGTTTCATCTCTGTGCACAGGGCCCTAGCTCGAGCGTCACCCACCACTCGAGGAGAGGAAGCACTGATCCTGTCTGAGGGGACAGGAGAGGGGCAGGGCTGACGAAGGTGCCCTTCCTCCAGGGTTCATGATTCCCTTTACCATGTGTTTGGAGCCCAGGGTAGACATCCTGAAGTTAGAGTGTGGGAGAACAACTGTCCTCAAGTGGACTGTTAAGTGTATTAGCCCCCTTGTGAGTACTGAGCCCAGTTAAGTCTGGCTGTCTCTCTGTGTCTTTGTGTATGTGTGTCTGTCTCTTTCTGTGTATCAGTGTCTCTGTGTGTGTGTCTTTCTGTCTGTCCCTCAGTGTCTTTGCATGTGTGTGTCTGTGTCTTTGCATGTATCTCTGTCTGTCCCTCTATGTGAGTATCTGTCAGTCTGTGTTTTCAAGCAATACTCTTCTGACAATGGCCGAGACTCACGGGTGACAAACACCCTGAAAAATCACTGAACCTGAGACCCAAATGACAGGACACCTGGCCTGGGAAGAGGGAGCAGTTGAATGCCTGTAGTAACAGGTGGACTGCTCGCTCTACAGTCAGAAACCAGGAGGCAAGAGACAGGTGGAGGCTTGCACCTGCATGTATAGTCAGTCACACACAGCATCCTGCCAGCTGGACAGAGACGGTAGTGACAATGTTCCTCCTGTCGTGATTCAGTCCTGGGCTCCAGCTAGAAGAACCCAAAGTTTTCTGTGCTCCGGATTTCTCCAGTATCTCCTTGTCTCCTCTGTTTATACAGAAATTCCTCTCTAAGAGTGTCAGCCTGACCCAGCTGAAGGGGAAGGCTTTCTAGTTGCACTAGGACTTGACATTTTCTGTGTGTCCCATGGTAGTGGCGTCAGAAATGGCAGAGTGAACACAAGGTAGGCAACATCTCCAGAGATGGTCATTACAACTTTCCTTTCCTCCCAGGCTGTACTCTTTGCTCTGCCGAGCCCTTGGGAAGTTTGTTTGCTTCGTTACTTCCTTATTTGGACATCAAGCTCCCTCTAGAGGGTTGCTGGAATCTAAATAGCCAGTTCGACACCTTGCCAAATTATCAGCCATGGTGGGCAATACTTATAGGCATTCTTTACCCTCCCCTAAAAGCAAGGCTCCCATATCCTCTCCTTACCTTGGGTCCCAACCAGAGCCAGGGCCAGACCTCCACGTCCTTCCCCACGAAGGGAGCTCAGCTGCCCATGGAGACGGCTCACAGCCTGGAAGCTGCTCTCATCCTCCAGGCTGAAGACGAAGATCACAGCATCCGCCCAGCCTGAGAACTTGCAGGGGATGAGAGGGCAAACACAGGGTCATACAGGTCCCACCCACTCAGGGTACTATTCAGAGGGTGTCCCAGGCAGATGGGGAATGCTTCCATGTCGGATACCTACCCTAGCCAGCCTCCTATAGCCACCGTCTCCACTCCTCACCTTGGCATCTGGTGCTCCTGCTTCCTCTCGGATCAGCACCAGATGAGTCTGTCCATCCACCAACATCTCCTTCTTGTACTGCTCACCTGTCCGGAAGAGTTGAAAAGTTTAATAGGTCAGAGGTGCCAGGTCACCAAACCTTCCCACACTCCCTCAACTTTGGGTATTCTGCCTCCAGTCCCATCTTGGTATTTTCCCAGGCACTGATCTTACTGGTGGGTCCCTGGTCCCCAGTCTTAGCTTACTGTGGCCCCTGAGAACTCACTCTCAGTCTTCTCCAGCACCTGGTATAAACCCGTGAGGAATCTGTGGATGAGAGACGACCTCCCACTCCTGACATCGCCCAGCACACCCTAAAGGAGAGACGTGGGGCAAGATGCTGGGTCTGCTCATGCCTGAGAATCCACAGGGATGGCGGTGTCAAGACACCCAAGAGAACCTCCAGTCAGCTGGGAAGAGCAGGGCATAGTATGGTAAGAAATAATCCCAGCTGGGTGGTGGTGGTGCACGCCTTTAATCCCAGCACTCGGGAGGCAGAGGCAGGCGGATCTCTGTGAGTTCGATGCCAACATGGTCTACAGAGTGAGTTCCAGGACAGCCAACACTACACAGAGAAACAATGTTTTGAAATACCAAAGGAAAAAGAAAAAGAAAAGATCCCAAAGTTTAAATAGACCACAAACTAAGCAATGGCCATTGCCCAGTGTGTGTGTGTGTGTGTGTGTGTGTGTGTGTGTGTGTATTTAGTAAACACATCAAATCTGTGTGTATGTAGGACATAAGCCAAGGCATTAGTTCAAAGTTTTACCCCATTCTAAGCAACAGAACACCAAGAATTAAAAAAAAAAAAATTGCAGGGCTAGAGAGATGGCTCGGTGTTTAAGAGCACTGGCTGCTCTTCCAGAGGTCTTGAGTTCGATTCCCAGAAACCACATGATGGCTCACAACTATCTATAGTAGGATCTGATGCCCTCTTCTGGCTTAAAGGTGTACAAGCAGACAGAGCACTCATATATACATTAAATAAATAAAATATTAAGAAAAATGCTAGAAATTGGGTGTCTGGTCAAACGGAAAGAGAATGAAGATTCAAGTTGAGAGGACGTACTGGGCAGCCCCTCAATACTGCTAGGATGCTAAACTCAGAGAGTTCTTGGCGAAGGGAGAGAATGGGGCGTGCCTGCTGCAGGTAAACCCTGCCTGCAAGCCAAGGGCCTGGGTTACATACCAGGCGCAGTTCAGGAATTGAACGGCTCAAAGTCCATTCCTGGCTATTGACCACAGCCTCTGTAAAGGGAAAAGTGCAGTTAGAAGGGGGACTGTGGCGTAGCAGGACTCCCAGCCATCACCCACTCTTTTCTGAGGGGTTCACCTAACCCAAGACCCTGCCTGCACTGGAGAGTGGTCCCTAGTCCTCCCATCCCAGTCACTCTCTCCACAGCTGTTGCCACCACTCAGTGGTTGCTTAGCAACAGAGCTAGCAAGACGAAAATACTTCAGTTGGCATCTCCCTTAAAACACATCCTCAAATGTGGGCCCTTGCCCCAGACCTGATCGGGAGGACTTCACTAGTAATGACTCTCCTCCCACCACAAAGAAGAGAGGGTCCCCCCAACACACACACATTCTCAAGGCAGATCTATGAGGGAAGGTCTGAGTCCTAGAACGGAATGGTGTTCCTTGGTCTCCATTTCACAGGCGCCAAGATGAGGAGAGGGCTTTCCTGCCCTTTTCCAAGGTCAGTGGCACAGGTAGTTCTAACTCCTGTCCATCGCCCAAGGTGGACAGCACTTGGATTTTCCCCCTGCCTAGATCTCCATGGCCTCCAAAAGAACCGTGGGGGGTAAGGCCTCCGTCCCCAGGCAGAGAGACACTACAGGCCCGGGGAGAAAGATTCTCCTTGCGCCCGTCCGCCGGGTCCAGCCCCCGTGCCTGACACTGGCCGGACGTTCCCGG